ATGACATAACAAACTCTAATGTTGTTGTAGAAGTTCATATTATAATCACGGTTAAGATTAATTGTAACCCAGATGGAAGCAGGAAATAATGTCTTATGATTCTCCATTGTGTGTTGCACATCATCATTCCTGGCAGGCTGTGCTTTGGGGGATTGATTGGTTAAAACAGTGACAGCTCCTTCCTGTGTGGTGCCTTGGAGTTTGCTTCCCTGTGCCTGAGTGTTTCCCCTCGGCCTCGTCTGTAGCTCCACACTGCAGATTTAATCAGCCGTCTGACAAATTACACTGACAGAAAACATGCCAAGATGTTTAGATGTAAAAAATTACCTCTATAATTAGAGGTTCCCTGATCAATTGGCCCTTGACTGGAATTAGACTTTTTTTTTTTGTAACAAGTAATCGGCAGCTCAAATATGAGGATTTTTTTTTTTTCCTCTTCTTTAAATGCATCAGAAGTAAGAACTCGAATAATTTTTTGGGTTATTAATGCATCAATCAATAACATACTTTTAATCCATTTTTTTCAGCGTGGAATAAAAAAAAACAGTGCACTGCTTTCGATATGTGCTGTCATGCATTTTCGTTTTTGTTCGATTTGAAAATCTGTGGAGTGACTTGCTGCCCCTTTTATGATTCTTCAGAAAATCATTTTTAATCGCACAAAATCAGACTCGGCAAATCAGACCACTGGAAATCACCCCGGGGGAAAAAAATCGATCGTCACATTGTTAATATAAGCATGAGCTGCAACTTAAGTTTTCTGTTGTCAAGAGGCGCTATGCTGTGCTAGTTAATTTTTATAAATAGTTGAGCCATATTAACCCAGATCCAATAAGGAAATGATTTTTTTTTAGTGAAATCGCATTGTGTTGCATGTCACCAGTCTGAACAGATTGTGTTCAGGGCATTGATTAAGATACCAAGAGTTTCTTCTTAGTCTCCTTGTGCCTGTGTGTTGCTCACTAGTGGGCTAAATGTGTCTGTGACTCAGGCGGTCATCTTGAAAATTACAACTAAAAATAAGTTCAGTTGATTGGTTAATAACATCTATTATTATATTAATGTAACTCTCTGGACTAATAAACCTTTTATTACTGCCATGACTGAACAAGACGTAATGCGTCTTATCTGTTTTGTCCTTAAGGAATTAGTGGCACTGGGTAGAGTGAACGTATCTGTCTTAAATTACCTTCCCTGTTACGTTAGACTTTCCCTCATCAACAGGTTTCTCCCCCCTTTTTGTCTTCAGAGCTAAATTGTTACTAAAATGTTAATCGGTAAAGTATGAATACTTCCTCTTGGCACCGAAGGCTTTGCGCATTAATTCGTCGTCATGTATTTTCGTTTAGTTGTTTCACCTGGGAGGAGTTTTATTGTGGAAATAAGCCAGCATGCTCTTTGATTAGCTGCACGTACACAAATATAAAGTATGACAGGTAAACAGGCTGCACCCTGTCCTTCCACGCTTCCACAGCCGATAGCAGATGAAGACAAATGTTGTGGTTTGGCGAGCATACGGGTGGATCTGGACCTGAACAGCTATTACAGTACATTTGTGTGTAGTTGATACGACAGTTCAGATTAAAGTTTTGATCCAAGTTTATTTTACTGATTATTTATTAACCTGAGGTTTGTAGCTCTTTGAAAAGGGCTGGTCTTTATGGCAGGAGCTGTTGTTATTTCTTGATGTCAAGAGAGGTGACGCACACCTGCATTTGACAATACAAATGCTGTAAAACAGTGTTTTACTAACGTTTTAAACGTTCACAAAGTGACTGTGCAGTTGATTCTTCAGTCTTGATCTTTAACCTTAACCATGAGGTTCCCAAAAGGCTGCCAACATTTCCAAACCCAGCATGCTCCATAACAGACAGAGGTTGAAAGCAGAATGTGATGACACAGAGCAGTTTTGCCGTACTCAAACTATACTGTAAGCTGCTGTATTTATGTCTAGTCTTTGACTGGGCCATTCTAACACCTGCATTTCTAGTTGAACTTGAAGGGTCATATCTAAACATCCCTCCATTACATAAAATTTAAGGCTATGGTCCTAACATTGTAAAATATGAAAAAAAAAAAAAAAAAACATTGCAGGGGTATATATACTTCTGCAATGTACTGATATGTCTTGTTTCTGACAGCCACGCTGCTGCTCCAAGTGTCGATAATAAAATGTGTGTTTTGCATGGGCCGACTCCTTTTGCATTATTGTTTTGCATATTCCTTGCATCACATTCCCTTTTTGCTAAAGATAAACTTTGAAAGCGTCAGATGTGATCAAATTTCTTTGGCTTTTTTTTATTTAGGGCTTTAATGATGGCATGTGGAAAAGTCAGCCATGATGAGACGCGTACCTTCACTAGGAAATGATAACTGAATCTGCAAATGAAGGAGATTGATAATCATCCAGATGAACATGGTTGTGGTTCTGCACTCTGACCTCTGAAACTGTGCTCGGTAGCTTATCTTTTATGACTCTTTCGTTAGGTTAAAGACCAGCGAGTTGTTTATGTGGGTCACGATGAATTTTGAGCATGCATGTGCTTCTAACTGGAAGCGGAAAGAAGGCTGCAGAGGGAGCAGCTGAACTCTGTTTACATGTCGGCTGTGATGGTTGCAAGTTGAAATCCAGCAGGTAATGAGCTGTTTATGATGCAGAGTTATATAATTTGAAGTCTGATGATACTAGCGGAGGCCCGCCACTCACTTCTGTCTGTCAGGGTAAATACTGGAGACACCTTCACTGATCACGCTATGCAGGTCCAAGGCTCCATATAATTCTATCAGCAACTCCAAAGACATACTGATGATTCTATTTTGAATTTCAAATTGGTAGTGTAATAAAAATGCTTTTTTTTTTTTTATGCACTGTTTGATCTCTAAAAGTTTGCAGTGTCTTCACAAAAGTATTCATCCTGGTTTTCTTCCAGGATTTCATTGTTTTTTTTTTTTTTTTTGCTGAATAAAGCTTTTACCACAGGATGATGCTGCCATGAAGATACTGAGTTCAGGAAGATGTGCAGTGTAAAATGTTCAAAATGTGAAATTGACCAATAGTTTTGTGGTCAACAGATTCTCCCTCCGGAGCTGTGGATCCCTGAAGCTCCTGCAGAGTTTCTGTGTGCTCCTTTGACTGCTGCTGCTGTTGTTTGTTACTCTTCTTTTGGACATTTGTCTCTGAAACTTACCGTTCCCTCCGTGTCTCCCTCCTGCAGTGTTGTGTGCGGACAGAGTGGGCCAGATGACGAAGACCTACAGCGACATCGACGCCGTCACCCGACTGCTGGAAGAGGTCAGTACGGAAAAGTCAAATCTGTCGAAGCAGATCAAACAGAAGGCGACATTTTTAGAGGGATTTTAAAGCACTTACGTTGGGGATGTACTAAAGTGACGATTTAAAATGTGGGGATTTTCTCTGAGGGTCAAAAGAACAACGTCGTTGAACTCGTTTCCTAGAGCTGATATTTTAATGTAACTTATCACCTCCCGGTCTGTGACAAAAAAAAAAACAAAACAACAAAAAAAAAAGAGCATAAAGTAGGACATCAAGAGACAAAAGTGTCTGAAAACTTGAATGGTGTCGTTGTCAAATAAAGCTTGAGATGTAACACTCAGATGGGCATGCAGGTTTCCTCTGAATAAAGCTCTGGTTGTGACCATGCCAGATGCTTTGTGTTCTTCAGTTGCACATGAAACACAGCTTAGTGTTGCTGCCTTTGTGTGTTTGGCTATTTTTACTGCCAGGAAACAAAAAGTTTGTGAGGCAGCAGACTCAGCCTGCCTCAGGTGAATAAGCCCTTAATGATTGTTCAGCTGTGACTAATAGCAGCCTTTTCTGTATGTTTGCTCATGATTTATTCCATTACTTCATTTATTGGCAGTCCTTGGGAAGATTAATGAATAACCTTCAAATGAAAGGATTTGTATTTGCAGTAGAGTAATCGGACGATTATAGTTTGAGAAAAAGTCCAACATTTTAATTCTGTGTATTCAACAGGGGGCGGGGGGGAAACATCTTAAGAAATAATTGTTTTATAAAATGACTAAGTATTTAGACAGCCATATTTTGCAAACAGGGTAGTAGTATTCAGTCCTCTGCTGTGAAATCCTCCTCCTGATTTCAGCTCACACTGTGGGTGTTCCCTTTGGAGGATAGAGAAAGTCATGAAAGAAGGTTGATTTTGAATCTGGTGATGCTTTTTTTTTTTTTTTCTTGAAATAGACAAGCATCATAGATTCTCCACCAGATTTGGGCGCAAAGCGTTTTCCCACCTATTTATCACTTCACATCAGACCCACTTGGAGTGTGTTTGCTGAGAAACTCAATCTCAGTCTTGTCTGAGCAGAGCGCTCAATCTTCACCTGTTTAGGTTGGAAACATTTTTGACTTTCATTCTGATGGTTGGGATGTAGACGGTGTGTTATCATCATACTCTGTGCTGCAGTTCCCCTACAGTGAGCTAGAGGGATTTATTTATTTATTTATTTTTATTTTTATTATTATTATTTTTTTTTACCTCCCAGACCTGCCTGCTTACCTACTGGCCAGTAGCTGAACGAAATGTCATATTGATAACGCAGGGAAAAAAGAAAATCATGGTTGGAAAACTGGACTTTTCCTTTATGAAGGAAAAATAGAAATTAAAAAAAGCTTTCTTTATATTCTTTGAATGGACGTGTTTGGGGGACCAGTGATTGTGACACCATTGATTTCTGTTAAAACCTGTTTTTTTTTGTTTTTTTTTGTTTGTTTGTTTGTTTTTTAAGTTGACATTTTCCCCATTGAGTAAATGACATTAAATTATAAATGTTGAATTTTTCTAAAAAGATTTGAATGTGCATTTATGTTACTGCGATAACAGATGAATCTATTTTAAGGTTGTTTTTTTTACTTGACTCATAAGTTTTGATGACTACATGACGGTATAAACAAACACTTGACGAAGCGATGTTAATGTCTTTCTGCTTTTGTTGGAAACAGGGAGCAGTCGACCCAGTAAATCTTAGTTTTCCAACATCCTCCTAAAACATTTTCTGCCCCATTATGCAATGACCAACTACAGTATATTACTGGCACAGACAGAGGGATTTATTGGTACTTGTATAATTGGGCTGGATAACAGCGGTATTGCGATTCTGAAAAAATTGGTCATTGTATATTGTGCAGCTCTGATGAAGGGACGCTGATAAATTTGCCTGCAGTAAAAGCTTGAACAGTTCATATTTTGTTTTATTCTTTTATTTTTGCTGATGTTTCCTCCTCTTTAAGATTAATATATTACTAAGAAGGCTGATATTCTACTTAAATACACTTTAATTAATCAAAACTGATTGGTAAATTTCTTTTTCCTGAATAATAAACATACACCTGTTGTAGCTGGGAGGCTAATAGTCATAGACGTAGCGGTCCAGGGTTCAATTCCTGAACTTGGGACTTTCTCCACTTGTCTTCCCACCTTCTGAGAAGTGAAAGAGAAAAAACACTATTTTGAACATTTAACTGTGAAATAAAGTCATAAATGGTATACCAACTCACTTGTTGTTGCTGTTTTAACATTTTAGTCGCTTTCTTTAACAGTGTAACTTCTTATGGTGTTGAAGATTTGTATTTTTTGCTGCCTCTTGGCTGGAACTCCTTTTTGGGGAAAAAGAGATTTTAATCTCAATGGCATTTAATACTGTTTAAAATAAAGGTTAAGTAAAAAAAAAAAAAAAAAAAAAAAAAAAAATATATATATATATATAAAAGAAAAAAAAAATATATATATATATATATTTTTTTTGTTGTTTTTTTTAATTGCTCTAAATCAAAGTTTGTGTTTGGAGCAGAAAGAGCGGGACCTGGAGCTGGCAGCTCGCATCGGACAGTCGCTGCTGAAGAAGAACAAAGCTCTGAGTGACAGGAACGACCTGCTGGAGGACCAGGTGGAGCACATCCGAGAGGAGGTACACACCAGCAACATTAAAGGGCTTCTGTAGTCTCTCAGGGTCAAAGGTGACAATACTTAACTGCCACATATGCAGGTTTATTAGATTTTTTTATCGAGCCTTGCAGGTGCTTGGACATGTTGTGAACAAAATCCTCCACATCAGCTGTTTTGTTTTTTTCCTTCCCCCTGTCCGGTGTTCATCATTTCTCCACATGTCTTCACATCCAGGTGTCTCAGCTGCGTCACGACCTCTCCATGAAGGACGAGTTGCTGCAGTTCTACACCAACGCCGCTGAGGAAAGTGAGGGGGAGTCCAACACCTCCACACCGTAAGCGTCCTAACACTCACTCCGTCTGCTCCGGTCACGTCTGCATGCAGCTGCGTTGTTGAATTGACATTGAGAAGTTTCGGTTGAATGTCTAATCGTCATTTGTTTGTTTTGGGGGTGTTTAAATAAAAGAAATGTGATAAAGGTTGAAATATCGGTGCGTTTACAGGGTGCGTTTGAGTGAACCTAACTTGTCCACTCCGACCCTGTTCCCGCTGGACTCCCTGCAGAAGAAACTCAAAGATTTGGAAGAAGAAAACAAATCACTGCGATCTGCGGTACGTAGAAGCATAAGCTTTCCCTGCAATGTTGACGATGGTCTACATGTCAGGTAACAGGAAGTAGATATACACACCAGTTCCAATACAAGCCCACTAACATTTGATTAATCACTCTGTTGCATATGTGGCTAAAAGTAGACCACACACACTATTTCTAGCCCTCAGTTTGTTCCCAAACTGGAAATCTGACCACTTGAGTTTATTTAAATATGTTGACTTTCTGCCACAGATCCAGCGCTTCAGCAGATTTTTTACAAATTTCAATTGCGTTGAAGTCGGGGCCACTCCAGAGGCTTAATGATGCATCCAATCCAAGACCAGTTCCTAGGCTGATTTGATATCACTGTCCAGTTTTTCGGCTGTATTATTTCACCCATTTTGTGCAAAACACCAATTTTATTTTGATATTGAAACCTTTATTTGACCATTCATATGCTTCTGAATTTTTAAGAAAACATCTTGGGTGACAAACTCCTGAAGATGTAGGGAGTTTTGTAGTTTATTCCAAAAGCACCGACAACTAAATAGATCCTCAGCGTTAATTCTGCCACCACTTTACCTGATAGATGGTGACGTGTTTGCAGGTACGAAGGCCTCACCTTGACTTTAACAAGAATTATTCTTCCTGAACCAATTTTTTTATGTTCAATCTGAGCGAAGATTTGGCTCAGACTCTCTGAATCTCTGAATGGAAATAAACCATTTTGAAATATTCAGTCAGTTTCGGCAGAAACCTGAGGGCTATAAAATCATGCAGCTGAATGACGTTGAATTAAATATTAGTGGGACATGTGGGGGTAATTTAGCCTTGTACGTTTCACCCTCTGTGCATTTGTGCACCCTGTTCACAAGTTATGATTGTAAAACAAGAAGGGTTGTTTTACGTTTTTTGCCTTAATTTAGTGACATAGCTTCAGCAATGCATAATCAGAACGCTTTAATAAAACCTGCATCTGTTTTCCATGATAAATCAACGCATCGTGGAACCTTTTCTGAGAAGGTGATTGCAAAGATTGACCACCGTTTTATCCATTTGTCCTCCCAGGCGAATCATTTGGAGACGGAAACCATCTCGTACGAAGAGAAAGAGCAGCAGCTTGTCAATGACTGTGTCAAAGAATTACGTGAGTTTTATATCTTTTCTTTTTTTTTTCTTTTATCTCATCTGTCGTTAAAATTTCAGTGGCTATAACATTTCCGGGCCCTCTCCCCCCTCCTGCCCTTCCAGGAGCTGCCAACCTGCAGATTTCCTCTCTGGCAGAAGACCTGGCCAGGAAGAGCGAGGACGCTTCCAGACAGCAGGAGGAAATCACACACCTCCTCTCTCAGATCGTCGACCTGCAGAAGAAGGCGAAGCTCGTAAGAAAGCCTTTAAAAAAAATAATAATAAAAATTTAAAAGAAGCTCCTAATGCAAACATGGATTTTTTAGATACATTAGGTAAAAGAATTGCGACTGCATGTCCTGTGTTGTCTTTGGTGTTCACAGTATGCGGTGGAGAACGAAGAGCTGACTCAGCACCTGGGTGCAGCCAAGGACGCCCAGAGACAGCTCACTGCTGAGGTAAACACATGACTGTAAAGGACACATAACGGTATTATTATTATTTTATGTGCGTTCTTATTTACGTGAAAAGTGACGATTTTTGAGGACCAAAGCGTTCTCCTAATGCAGCAAACTCTTTTAATTTTTACTTAGACAACTAAGTTCTAGACTTGAAGTTTGCTTTGCAGCTATTGATATTGAAGTATTCTACTATATATTTACTCATAAGAAGTAATATTTTCTTAATATCAAGCTTTAGTTGGGTAGAAAAACACTTAAAACGGGAAAAATATTCGAACATAAAAACCTCTTTGTGAGAAAAATAATCTTGTCAGACAGGAAATAAGCATAAATCTCATTAATCCAAGATCTTTAATCTTAGATTCTAGTTTTTGCAGTGATTAGAAACGGGATGTTAATTAGGTTTAGGTCAAGGTTAAACTTAGATGGAGGTTTTTGAACGGAATAATTTGAGTTTATCTCCCTTTCAGATCTAAATGTAAGACTATTTTTATTCAACCAAAAAGTTTTTAGATGAAACTAATGTCTTAATGGCTCAGGTGCATCAAGACTAAATTTGGTAGATGTTTAGTTTAAATGTTAACTCTTTTTTTTTTTTACTCTGCAGAAACACAAAAAGTATTTTTGGTTTAGTTTCTACTGCAAATATCTTAATACACTTAAAATGAGACAAAAGTAACTAACAAGTAAGTTTTCAGCAAGAAATAGGATCTTATTTAGAGTCAATAATTCCTTAATATTGAATGAAAAAAAAACTAGCAGATTATTTTATTTTTTTAACATGGGGAAAATCTCTTGCTGTAAATGAAATAATCTGCCAATGAAACTGGAACTTTTTCATCAATATTAAGGATTTATTGACTTAAAGCAAGCTGAAAAGTTACTTGTAAGTTAGTTTGTATTATTTCAAGTGCACTAAAAATCAGACAAAAATGCTTTGTAATATTTTATGTTTTTGCAGCGATGATCTCTGCAATGGACTTTTTAAAAATATATATCTATGTTTTAAGTCAAAAGCCAAACCTGCTGCATTTCCCCCCCCCCCTTCTCTCTGTCCTTCCGCCTCTCCTCTCTCCTTGCTCAGTTGCGGGAGCTGCAGGATAAGTATGCAGAGTGCATGGAGATCCTCCATGAGGCTCAGGAGGAGTTGAAGAACCTGAGGAATAAATCTCTACCTCTCAGCACCCCGAGGCGTTTCCACACACTGGGCTTATTCCCAATGGTCAGCGCATGAGCTGTCACAGCTTTATGCAGTTCAGTATATCGGACTGTCGGCTCCAGCAGAATGAATGGATTCATTTTCTTCTCTCAGGACTCGCTCGCAGCAGAAATAGAGGGAACTATGAGAAAAGAGCTTCAGATGGACGATCCAGACGTAGAAGAGCAGAGGTGCCTTTAGTTTTACGCTCTGACGTTGTTCCTGCGTGATACTTTGAATGTATCCCTCGATCTCCGTAGTAACGCGATCGTGTCGCTCATTTCTCCAGGCTGCACCCAAAGCGGGTTTTCCAGACGGTGAAAAACCTCAACCTGATGCGACAGCAGCGCTCCTCTGCAGCCCCCTCCCCTCTGAACATCCCAGGGTCCAATCAGAACTCGTGCTTCACCTCGAGCCGCTCCAGCAGGGCGGGCACGCCTCGCTCCAACTCCATCTACGGGAGCGAAACAGGAAGTGGGATCATCTTGGACAACAGGACAAGCAGCATCCTGGAGGGTCCGGACGACGGGTGAGGAACATTCTGAATCTTTAGCAAGCAGAAAGAAAGGGGAAAAAAATAGAGATTGCTCTTCTTCTCATCTCTCTCTCTCTCTCTCCTCAGGTCGGAAGACTCCAACAAGCGGCCCCCTGGTACGCCGGGGACCCCGGGCAGCAGGGACCTGGAGGCAGCCCTGCGCCGCCTGTCGCTGCGCCGTGACAACTACCTCTCGGAGAAACGCTTCTTCGAAGAAGAGAGGGAGAGGAAGCTGGCCTACTTGGGGAAAGAGGAGGAAAAGGGAGAGGCTGATGGCAGCAGGGACCCGGGGACCCCAACGGAGAGCCTGCTGTCGTTCTGCTCGCATCCCTCCTTCGGAAGCATCTGGTCGGGATACTCCATCACAGCCAGGTCCTACCTGCCGGAGAAGCTGCAGATTGTAAAGCCGCTGGAAGGTGATTATTGGTCTCATGATCCTCTTGACACAAATAAGGGAAAGAAAAGTCGTAGCTCCCAAAACGTCTTCCTGAATGCAAACGAAAACTCAAAGAGAAAAGAGAATCCCAGCCAGAAGCAGAGGCAGGACTACAGCTATGTTTTTCTAAACAGCTCAAACAGTGAGACACAGATTGGTCCAACGCGAGACGACGACGACACCAAACACCCGAACCGGTATTTAATCTTTCATAACCAGAGCGAGTCACAGATCCTCCTGAGCGCCTCACCGAAGGCGAAGCTGCGCAGAAGCTCCAGTCTGTTGGAGATTCGCAGCCTGTTGGGTTTCCAGCCTCCCCTCAGAGCTCCTCCAGCTCTGGGCAGAGGCCTGCTGACGGCCTTCAGACAAGAGGAAGGCAGTCTGAACCTTCAGCACTCCTTTTATTTCAGACACACTCAGCCGAGCTGCTGGTTCGAAGTGTAGAAACCACACAGGACAACGCAGGAATGTTACAGATCATAAAAAATATGAGTACGTGGTCGATATACTTTTCAAAGCAAACATACTTTGTGCTTGTGTGCATTTATATTGTCCAAATTATGCCTTATTGGTTAGGCATAAACCTTATGTTTTTACTAAGTTTGTCAGCTTAATTGTTACATCTTTCATTTGCCTAAATATCCATATTTAACAGCCCTGACAGAGTTGGATTTCACTCCTGGTCGCTGTAACTTCATGCACCATTTGCAGTGTTTTCCCTCCACCTAGTGTTCAGAACTGAAATTACAATCATAAACATATACGTTGCACTATTTTGCTGTCTTGTGTGTAAAATTAAATAAAATGGGAGAAAAAAAACGACATGGTAGCATAAACAATAGGATGGAAAACAATGTGGGGTTTTTTCTGCATAGAACATTCAACATTTTTTTTTATAGTTGGGTCAAATAGAATAAACAAAATAGAGAGTATATAATTAGAAATATCCTCTACCGTTCCACAGCTGGGGGGGAATTCAGGTGTAAAAGCAACAAAGTGACAGAGATGTAC